CAATGGTATCACAATGAGTACAAATGTCGTCGTGATGCACCACAAATAAAAAATTTTGTCGTTGTACCAATGTGCAGTTTCCAACGTCGTCACATTCGCATCGATACCGACGCATTGTACACCATCCTAGCCAGTGCAAAATTGGTGCCATTGAAGTGCGGTTTGAAAAAACGCAAAGATAAAACGACCAATTCGATCAACATAACGAGCAACGAATTCCGCAGAAATAAAATTTTAAGTTGGAATCTGTTTTTCAATGTGGAAAAAATTCAACAACTGGAACATTTCAAAAAGTATTTCGATTTCCAAATTTGTTCGGACGGTGTGTCTGTTTCGATGATGTACAAAAAGCCAAAATTACCACCACTCGAAATAAGTGATGCTGAAATCATGAAAATGTACAAAGGGAACAAATTGAAGCATGCTATTGGCTGTGACCCGGGCATGAAAACCTGGAACGCTTCAGTGCGTCGTGATTTGGATACCAAAGAAGAGGTAAATTAAATTTTTCATAATGAATGAAAGTGATTGATATTGTGATTGTGATTGTGAATACAATGTCGTTTTTGTTGTTATCATTTTGTTAGGTGAATTTGCGCATATCCAGCAAACGGTATCACTGGAATGCGAAACAAGGCCGACGTGATGCAAAAGCTGAACGAATCACCCGATTATTTACATACGACGAGAAAGCTGATCGCAATCGAGTTGCAGTGACTCTGGGTACAATGCCATCGCCAAGAGAAACATCATGGCGCTCGTATATTGAACATCGACTACGAGTTATGAATGATGGCATTGAAACGTACACGTGTAAGCAATATGCACGCTTGGGATTGGACAAGCATATCGACTCGGTTCGTGCGATCGACAAAACGGCTTGCAAACTGACACGCAATCAACCATCAATTTTCTATATGGGAGCCAGTGGATCCACACCAGCCAACTCACCGATCAAAATCAAAAAACACGTGCGATGCCCAGGCACTCGCAAACTGATTGCAGCCATCATGAAACGTGGAAATTGCATCATTCGAATGGTCGATGAATACATGACATCACAGCATTGCCCATTGTGTTTCAAGCGATTTCCACAAGAAACTCGACGTGATCGATACAAGAAATGTGTGGGTTGTGTACCAAATCCAATTGTTGGACTACCACGAACCATCGTAACCAATGTGAGCAAACGATTACTACAAATGCGACGAAGAATTGAACGAATGTGGCGCGAGATGCGTGATATAGGCGATGTCATTGCTGCAACTCTTCGAGATGGACCGAATGCAGGTCGTTTGGTGTCAAAGAAGCAACGCTTCTTCAAAACATGGCTACCAAATGTTGCAAACGTTGAAATCGAGGGAGCTGCCGGAGCACAACCACCGCTCACAACTGTATGGCACCGTGACATCGCAGCAGCGAAGCTGATCCTCTACAAAGGTATGCAATCAATTGAAATTGATACAAATTTTGAAGCAATTGTTATACATGTAATGTGTTTTTGTTATGTATCATTCGGTAGGTGAATGCGTTGTGTTCAAGCGGACAATTCATCCAAATGTACGGAGACCACGCCGTGTTGACAACAATCAGCCATTGCCGTTGTATCGAGGTCAGAATCAGAATCTGCAGCCGCAGTAGTAGCAGCCCTCATTCATCAACAACAACAATATCATTAAATCAAATTATAATTTAGAAATTAGTTTATAACAATTATTTGTTAGTCCGCTAGGCTTGATTAAATTGTGGCCTTGCCGAAGTA